AGATTTTCGTCAAATGAAGAGGCAATCACCTTCGTGAACAATTATTTTGCAGAGAAAAACGCCGAGTACTATTTCGACGGGTTACAGAGATGGGAGCATCGCTGGGAGAAGTGTGTAGATTTACAAGGAGACTATGTTGAAAAATAAAAAACAATTTTCAAAAAAAATGACTTGTATCTTTGTTAGGTCGGAAACTTTTCAGACCACCCTCGTATATATATCTTATGCCAATGTCCACTTATGGCACGTAAAAGATATAAATTCTAAGAAAAAGACATTCCTGGAATCTGGAGATATAAAATAAGTAAGTAATCTACTATACCTAGTCTCTGACAAGAGACTGGGGCTATGATTATAACTTTAGTTAAAAACAGCGAGATATTATGATAGATCAAATGATCTACACAATTTGCACTAAATCTACTCGTTCTTCTATTTACTACTATTACTACAGTATTTTCATGTACACGTCATGCGAAGGTACATGTAATTTCGCTCGTGCTCATTTTATTTATAATCATCTCGAAATTGAGGATGAATACGCACTTCGGTGGAATACGCGTGACTAGTATCGTCGACTCGTAATATGGTGTATCGGTGATTATTACACCAATCGATTCAGGCTCGGAGGAGGAACGGAAGAGGGTCGACGGTTGCGTGGCGAAAGGGTTTAATTACGCGCGTCTCGGCGATGACGAAGACAAATACCTAAGTGCGATTGTCGGTAGTAAACTCGTCGAGTTTTCGATCAGCTGGTCCCACCGTGACTAAAGTTCCTCGACGTGCCGTCATGACGTGTGAACGACGCCAGTTACCACCTGGACGCGCGATTGAGTTGCATCGACGACTCGAGAAGATCATCTCGCACCGAAAATAGCGTTGATAGCACAATAAAACTGTTGTGATTTTTGTTTCCCACACAAGAAGTGATATCAAAATAGATATTGAATGGAATAGTTAAACTAAAAGTAGGATCAAAATTTCGAGGGTAAGCTTGTATTAATAGCCATAAAGTTAATAGTCGTTACTTGAAATTTGTCTCGAGTGGGATATTCAGATTTGAATTTAGAATTAGATGTGAATTTTTCAGGTGAATCATAATTATAAATATTGTATAACATCACATATATTATATGATTCAACTGAAAACTAAGATCTAGTTCTAAATTTCGATCCGAGTTCCCGATCTCTGAATGAACCAAGTTCCAATAACGACTACTGATACGGATCTTAGATATCGATATCAATTATGCATCTGACGAGACAGCGTTTCTAACATTGTCATACAGCGTGTTAAGTGGATCGTACATAGAAAGAAGTAAGCAGTACATCTTAAGGGGATGCTGGAGTCGATGACGAACTCGAACAATGTTGATAATGCAGAGACGATCGTCACTAACATAATCACGCTATCCTTTTCGTATTTCCTACATATACAGAACTTACACGAATGTGTGTTGCTTTGTTTTACCATATTCAACGGAGAACCTAACCATATATGTGTAGAAATCTTTCCGAAAACTTTTTCGATATTCTTAAGCTTCCAAATGTAGATGCGAAGGTAGAGCAATGTTCTTCAAAATTTTTCTGTTTGGAGCATCCACACTTTCGGTATGTACAAGCTGCGGAACTTTTGGATTAGGCAAATATTACTCTGACAGCTTGAGATTTTACATTAAAAATTTTTTGCTCGTTTTCGTCACATATCAAGCAATGCTCCTATTTATTTTTGCACGTACCTTCATTGCGTACGTTCAAAGCATTTGTAATTCTGTGTAACCAATACGACGTAAACTTTGTAGAAAAATATCAGTATTTTGTCGGTAAAGTTTTCAGCTTCAGCATCCCTTTAAGCAGATAAGCGAATTAGCAAGTCACATTTGAGAATTATCGGGAACATAAAGACTGTCACGATAAAATATTCGATTCCGTGATTGGTCTGTTTATTTACTGCTCACGTTTTTCGTGTGTGCTTTGGCCCATCACCCACTGAAATATGAATTCCTCCTGGAATTCGTGTATCCTCGTGCATCATGCGAGTCGACAGCAACCTCCTCAGGCACGACTGCCGATCCTTCTCGTGTTGTTCTCGCGCGGCGATCCGACTCACGAAGGCAACGCGGCGGTTGTCACGCCTAGTAGCCGCGGATAGTCGCGTCGGCAGAAATTTTAATAAACGGTTCCTCCCCGGTGCACCGCGGCGGAGGCCCGCATATATACAGACGCGTACGCGACGTGTGGAGGTGTTACCCGCCGCCTGGTAGCCGGCAGGACGACGCGGCCGGGGAGAGAGGTTAATCACCCACGCTGGATTTTAATAAACGGTTCGGGGGGCAAACAAAGCTGGCCATCAATAACCACGGCGCAGCCTCCCTCTTTCGCTCTCTCGCTCGGTCTCCCTCACTCCCAACGGGGGCCCCACGGCCCACCTCGCCGACCGACCCGCGGCCATGCCAGGGCCTTTGCCACCAGCTTGTCGAGCCTCGCGCAACGGACAGCGAGATAGGCGGAGATCGTATCTCCGTGGTTATTAATTAACCGGCGAGAAGGGAAGGCCCCCTTTCATCACCTCGCAAACGATCTCGCCTTCAGCGAGAGGACCCTCGGCCTTGCCCTAGCATATATAGATAGCGTACAGCTGCAGCGAGGATCTCTTTCTCTCTTTCTCTTCGTGTACTACGATGTACGGGGCGATAGATCGTCGTGTGCTCGAGCACGCGCGTATGAGGGTGCAAGCTATCGAAATTGAGTGTTGTTGGGCGTTATAGGTGCTATTAGTTATGGTATCAAAGGGATTCTACGAGTATAAGGATAACATTGTCGCGTAATATCCCGAAATTTTTATCATAATTTCGACCTCAGTATTCCATTTAACGTCTATTTTGATACTCTGAAGTTTATATCAAACTTATATCAAGCTCTGAAGCTTATATCTTTTTTCATTCTGTTTAACTTACTAGCTTACTGCCGAGAAGTCTTCCTTGGAACCTATAAGTGGTATTTTGTACATTTTCTGTCATTTAAAGCCGATTTTTCGAACTTCATGATATACTAATTAACAGTTAATATGTCTGTCTTTATTTTTCTTTGAAATTAGATAAAGACAGATATATGATTTAATTGTTAGTTGGCTTGCCAAGAGATAGAAACAGCTCTTTGTATTGACAGTTATTATTTAAAACTTAACTCAGACGAGATACTCAGATTTCAATTCAGAGTTGGATGAGAGTCAATTGAATTACAGATATAAATGTCACATATAGTATAATTTATCTTAGAAAATGGATCTCTCTTTTCTGAATAAAAATCTTACGTGAGACAAGTTTCACGTATCTACTATTAATTTGAACTTAGAATTAGACGTGAATTTTCGAGCTGAATCGCGATTACAAATATAATGCTACATATTATATGATTCAAATAAAAAAAAACTCAAATCTAGCTATAAATTCGGATTTGAGTATCTCACGTGGGACAATTTCGAGTAATGACTATTAATACGGGTTTTAGGAACGCTAAGTAGAACTTCAGTATCTACGTGTATTAAACAAACACACAGAAATTTGATTGTATTAACATGAAATTTTATTTTAATAAACACGTTTTTTGAATGATAGAAATTCCGCATGGTTCGTATAACCCAAATATAGTTCTAATAACCAAGGAATTTCGTTTCTTTTAACGTCAGTCCTTTCCTTAAACGCGTCAGTTTGTTCGTTACAGCCAAATTTCATGTTAATACAACCAAATTTTTTTCCATATACTAGTCCTTCAGAATATACAAGTATTAGAAAGTTCAGATCGAAAATAGGGACCAAAATTTCAACTCGTGATTGTCGTTCGTACTTGATATCCTTATAATACATTCGATGTGATGCTTTATCACTTTACGTGGAGACACATGAGCGACTTAGAGTCTCAGCCTCAAATAAGCTAAGATGTTATATCTCATCATCGAGAGGATTATAAGGTGAGGTGCACAGCACAGTCGTTTCTTTCGTGCGGAAAATAAAAGAACGCGAGATTTAGGCGTCTAAGCAGCAGATGCGTCAACGCAATTTCGACAAATGCGACGTTCTCGATATGAATCTTGAGGAATCGAGATAGAATTCAACGAGATTCAACGACACGGTATCGTGATATATCTCGCTGCGGAATCAATATGAGATACGGTGGCACTTACCCGTTTATGGATGTTCGAGTGATGAACCAGGATAACACCGACCTAGCTAACGAATGCCAAGCCTGCAAGGACAACGAGTCGGACCTTTCGGTGGATCTCGTAATGAAATGTTTGGCGGCTTTGTCAGGCAGGTCGGCGTCAGGACCGGTACCGAGTGGGATCCACAGATTGAGCAAGTCTTCACTGAACTTTCTCCTGTCCACTCTGTACCACTGTAAACATATAAAACATACGATTACATCAATTTTATTATTGCGGCTCTTCCTCTTCACGGCGTTATTAGCTTCATCGGGGATATACTGACAAATGTGTGTACTGTGGGTTGCAAAATGGCCTAAACACAATGAAATTGGAAGCTCACCAAAAATGAGAGTCATTATTAACAAACTCACTCAAAAATTATATTATTAATTATTATTAGTGTTATTATTTATTACATAGTGTTATTAAATATATAATTAATTACACCATTAGTACGCAAATTGTCGGTAATAATCCTTAATTTTGACAGTTTTGGAGGCACTAAAATTCATTATATTTAAATCATTTTGGAACTCGTTATAAATTTAATTTCTCTTTTTTATGCAAACATTATCGACAAAATGATAACGGACAGTATTGCAAATAAACATTCACTACGAAACCCCACAAGGAAAAGGGAAAGCACGTCACATGGTTGATAGATAGTATATCGTGGCTAGAGACATCGAGGAGGTTCAATTTTTACGAGGGTGACGCTAAATTATTCCTTTGTCTTAACTAAGTATTACTAAACGACGAATAAAATTGACTGAGTTATATGGATGACGCGATCGCGCTCGAAACTTTTCGTAAAAAAAAAGAAGGATTTGAAATGTTAGAAAAAAAAATAACACAGTATTCAAACAACACATTAGCGAAAATCGATTTCACACAAATAATCGCGCGATCTCACAGACGGAATTATTCGATCGCGAGAGTCATGGCGCGCTGTGCGAAGTATACATCAATCTGCGGGTATAAAATTCGCAAAGCTCCGGTACGTTCCATTAACGTCCCACCGGGTGGCCCGCCGAAAATGTATTTCTCGCTTCATTACGGCAGCGTATTACGGTATTAACGACACGTATATATCCCTTGCTCTCGCGGATCAATTTTTCCCTCGAAACCGCACGACATTCTGAGCGTTCGCGCGCAGTTACGGCTCTCCTTTCTCGCCTTTTTCCCTCGCTCTTGCAAATTGCACGACGCTGCCGAGCGCGTCGACGGATTGGATATTCGTCGTCGTCGTCAGTTCATTTCGACGAGTTTCGACACTCGTTAATGCGCGCAAGTTAAAAAAACAGAAAGGCAAAAAATGAAGAAAGAAAAGAACGAACAGCCGTGAAATCTTATATTTCATTAAGGCGCCGTGCTGCCGGGTCGTCGCGTCGGCACAACATCTTTCGCTTCATTATCGAAGGCGCGTATCGCGACATTAACGATATTCTCCCGCCGGCCGGCGCCCTCCGCGCGTCCTTGTCGTCCTCGGAGAACCGCGAAACGCCACACAGTCCGAAAAGCAATTACGTTGACCGGTCGGTCCGTCGGTCGGTCGGTCGGTCGGTCCACCGGGCTCCGCGCTACACGACAGATATCCGATTTCACCGTCAGCTTCCGAGAATGAGAACCAATTACGCGGCCCCGGGGCATTAAGGAATCGATCTAATTTGCGCGCGCGCTCGGCGGCTCGGCTCGGCTCGGCTCGACGCGGCGCAGCGTGGCGCGGCGTGGCGCGGCGCGGAACGACGGCTCTTAATGGCGAGAGAGAGCCGGCCGATGAAATTATACGAAAATGTAATCAAGGCGCTTTTTGTCTCGTTTCGCTCCGAGCGGGGTAGGGGCGTAATTAGGAATGCTTTTGCGCCTCGCGACGGGGGACACTTGTTGCTCGCTCCGCTCCTCTCCCTCGTGTTTCCTCACGGAGTGTCTCTGTCTCCGTTGCTCTTCCCCTTCATTTCACCCTTTCGTCCTTCTTTTCCCTCTTTGTCCATCTTGTGATCGTAAATCGTCCTCTCTCTTCCCCCCTCTCTCTCTCTCTCTCTCTCTCTCTCTCTCTCTCTCTCTCTCTCTCTGTTGTTCCCGGCCGATTTTTCCTCCTTCTCTTGTTCTCTCCTTTTCGTCGTAAATTTCTCTTTCTTTTTCTCTCCATCCCACTCTCACAGCAGCCCCGGTGCTTGGGGGAGAGGGAAGGAGGGGGAGAGGTACGAAAAAGGAAGAAGGAGCCGGCGGGGAAAAAAGCCGAGAGATGGAAGGACCTCGCCACAGAAGGAGAGTAATTAACACCGTGGTGCCCAGGTGCGCGGCCCTAAGAAGTCGTTTATGGATTGCTCGGCTGCCGCGGCCACGTAGCCGGCCATCAATTAGATTCTCTAATTAAAACAGTCCGCTCTTCTCACCGCGCGGTGCATTAACTCCGCCGCTGGCAGCCTCACGAAAGGGGAGAGGAGCCCGGCGAAGTTACGCCGATCGACTTTGTCATCGTCCTACCGGACGGAGGCGCGACGGATCATCGCGTTTCTTGTTCAAGGACCAGTGGACGACTCGCACGGCGTCGATAGGGCCCGCGATGTAACACATCGAGTTACTCGCGGTACTGGGATCTCACAGTTTCGCTAAATGGATCACGATCGATGGATCTGTTATCCACATGGACTTTCATGTTTCTCATGACATTAGGCCATTGATGATGGAAATTCTACAATTTTTTGAATTATATTTATGAGGTTAATATACTGTGTTGAATTAATCAATAAATTTGTGTTGTGTTACGTTGTGTGAGAAAAAAAATATCTAAAAAATAAAAAAAACTTATACTTATTTTGGTGGGTACTAATAATATATTTACTTAAATCTAAATTATTTTATTTAAATAGAATAAACAATTGCTTTCATGTAAAGCTAAAATTTTAAGAAACTGTATATTTTTTTCTCTGTTCTAGAATAATGTAAGATTTTTGTTACATTGATGCAACAATTAATTCACTAAAAGTTACTCTCAGGTTTCTATATTGCATTTCGAATGACATATTATTTTGAGCTAATTTTGATAATATTTTTCGTATTTTTATTTTGTCATTTTATATTATAAATATGAGTGTCATATAAATCACTCATATAAGGAACGCAGACTATAATCATCTGGAACATTTCATCTCTTAAAGAAACAGAATCGTCACTTTTTCGAATGATTTTAACATTCCAAATAGACTTTCATAATTACACAACCTTCACAAATCGTACAAAAGAGTTGCTGCCAACGTACTGGATGTCACATATGTGTGACGTTACGACCTCTCATAAGAAAAAAAAAGACTTTTTGTTGACATATATTAAGTCTGTTTTACATAATAAACGTTAAGAAAAAAAGTATATGAAGTGGTTTGTGGGGAGAATCTTCCAAATAAATCCTAGCAACGATATGTTAACCCTAGATTATCAATATTAATTATTTTGACTTACATCTTGAATAACAATATGGTAAAAAAAATATTTGTAACAAACATTACTTTATCTTTCTTCTATAAAAAATAATTAAAAACTTATTTAAAAACATATTAAAAGTAATTAAAAAATTAAATGATTAATGTAGACTATAAGCGAAAAGACAATTAAGAAAGTTAAAATAACTTTATATTGACAATAACGAACTAATTATTACTACTTGCATTGGAAATCTAGGATTAAATAATTTCATAATACGCGCAGGAGAGAGCGGGGAGTAGCAGGAAGTTCGGTAAAAAAACGAGCGCGATTCAATTCGCAATAACGTTCGTATCGTTTGCGTTGTGGTCATTCGCAAAATTTGATTTTCAATTAATGTGTAACGGTATCGCGCGGGAAAGTATCTCTGGTCGGCGTGCGCGGCCTCTCGACGAGCTAAACTCTTTCCGCTTCAATTGCGCTGTGCTTGGTGCGCAAAAAGTGTCATCATCCTGTGGGTAATGCCCGAAACAAAGAAGCCCGGCGATGCGTGGAGGTGCGAAGGCGAGCGCCTTTGTGGCGTAGAACGCGGCGCGGTGTAAAGCGACCGCTCGCTCGTGCAATTTTAATTATGGCTGCCAGCGTGTGTCGCTAATTGCAGGTAGCCGGCGACGTGCTCACCCCACGTCATCACACTTTGATTCCGACTTTTTCCCCGGGGCATTACAAATGGCTACCGACGTGGTCGCGCGCGCTGCTGCCGGACAGCATTCCTCTTCGTGTCATTAGTGGCGACTTTCTGCGCGGCGCGCCGGGGCGAAGGGAAGGCAAGGGCAGGAAAGAGAAGGCAAGGGAAGGGAAGAAAGGAAGGAAGGAAGAAAGGAGCCGGGAGGCTGGAGAGAAACGCAGACAGAAGGAGAGACAATCGACTCCCTTGCGCCTTCCGTGTAGCTGTGTAGCACGCAGCAGCAATCGCCTCTCGGCACCGACAACAAGTAGCCGACTCGGAAATCGCAGCCATCTAAATCAACGTCGCGCGTTCACCGCGACGAACGGCGAAATAACGCCGAGAGGTTTGACGCCCTCGACCTCTCGGAGGAATCTCCACGCAGAGATACGCATCGGTGCGTTTAGATCGTTCAGGGTCTCCGGGCGAAGGACGATTTTGGGGTCGCCGCGATGCTTATAACAGTATCGTTTTTCACAGCTGGATTTTATGCACGGTGAAGATACGGTAGTAAAATTCATGCTACAACTATATTCCTTTCCACAAAATGTTTTTCGTAAAGCTGGATTATATTAAAATGATACACTGTGAAAAATGAGGTGTTGAATTTAACATTTCACATGTCCCAATTTACCTTCTCTAATTTTCACGATAATTTACCACAAAGCAAATATGAGGTTATTATGTAATTTCTGTCATATTTTTGAATAAAATTATCTAATAATAATTTACTACGCATCGAAGATGAACGCACGAAATACGATAGAAATTTCGTAGCAATCTAATCTGTAAATAAATATGTCGAGAATTAACACGAAAATATAACATTTAGACACTGTTGCGTTATATTAATACTTAAAAATTGTAAATATGAACTCGACGCAGAATAGTCAAGATAATACAATAATAATATGTGAAATTAACGCACAATTATGTATTAAAAATTTAACACCAAAATTTCTGCAGAAATCGATTACAAATGCAAAATGTTTTTATATTTCTGTTGAACCATTGTGTTTACTATGAAGAGAGAAAGAGAGAAAG